AGAGTTGCCCATTCCATGTACTTTATCTTAAACTCATAGTGCTCATTTTATACATCTAATCATTTTCTTTTTTCCCATTCACCTACCTATAGTTTATTATATTATTGAAAGATGAGATTATTTCCTGCCACATCTTATTCATTATGTTATTGTTTGATTTTTTTTGCTTGCAAATGCAGAAGTGAAGCCTATTCCATCTGGAGAATTGTGCTGGAAGTGAAGAAATCCAATTTTGCAGTAGCCTCGTATTTTATTATTAAGATAAGCTGTATTTTCAGTCATTATCAGGCATGGTTCCCTAACTTCCCTTTTATACCCACATGCAACTTACTCATTTTTCATCACTTTCATTCCTCATGCCAATCCTACCTATTGTTTCCCTCCTTTTCCTATGCTTATGCTAATTCATAGTCACAATTCAGTTTTACACATCCACCATGACTACATACATTGCAACTGCATAAGAGAGCAGACATGGTTTCTTTTCATGCTCACGATATTCTTGAATGAGCTGCAGGTTTTCTTTGAGATGAAGAATGCACCAAGCTAGATTGATAGTTCATTTAAATCATAGTGACAGGGTAAATTTGTGAAGAAATTGTTATTAACAATATCTAACGTGGAATATTTTGGGCTACAGTATTTTACTCACTAAATTTCATCCTTGCAAGGTGTAGTTTTGTCTCAAGGTATTTAGACCTGTGTCTTCAACTTGTTTTGCTCATGCTTTGGGTGCAGTCTGAAGTGCTTTTGCACTGGCTTGTAACAATCATTGATACCAGTAGATCCACTCAAAGACAATGAAAACTGTGAGTGCCCTTAGGGCTGAATAATTCCTTTCCAAATTATGAACCAATAAAGAACTATGTCCAAAAATGTGTCTGCTTTCTGACTCTATCTGTTATTCTGATGAAAATACTATCTCTTTTAAAACGTTTTGACATACTAGATCAGTTTACATTGCCTAAGGTAATGACCATATAAGAGACCTTTAGCACCAAAATAAAAGTCTCTACCAGTAAACCTAAACAGACATGAATTTCTGCACAGCAGTACACTGAAATAAATTCTTCAAGAGTATTATTAATGGGGAGAAATAAGAAAGTAGTCAAACAGGTTCAGTTATAGAAATAAATCAACACAGGTAGGTTAAAGTGAAAGAAGCAATAAAGTCAATGCCCCTCCTCTAGGCATTGACTGTGAATTATTGTTACAGAATATACTCTAGGTTATAGCCACAGTACAGGATAATTAAAAACCATTCAATTTCTTCCCTGAGATTAATTTTCATCAAGCTAAAATGTGACACAGAGGAAGAACTGGCTGAATATATGTAATCTCTACATCTTGAAATACTTTATTAAGTAGAGGCATTCAATCTATTAATTAGTGTATTGTTACAGGCAATTGGAAACCACAGTCCTTAATCCAAACAGAGTAAATTACAAATGAAGAAATACTGGATTACCATTTGCACAGCTATTTTGATTTTGGCTCACAGCATTGTTCCCTGAATTCAGTGATGTACAGGAAGAAATTAATATGAAAATTACAATGAAGATATTTCATTACAATATGATACAGATCCTCTCTTTATGAGAGACATGCTCAGTAAAGGCCTTAAGCCAATATCTGGCTGTTATCTTATTTGTACAAGGCTGCACTTGAAAATCAGGGACAATAACTGAGAATGTATTATTTTATTTAGTTGTGTTATTTTGGTTCCTTCTCCTGCACTGGATTTGTGCAGAGAATGCTCAACATCTTTATCAGAAAATTCACAAGGTCTGTACAACTTAAATCCCATTAAGGCTTCCAATGAGACTTCAGTGTTGCATCAGCCCATTACACGTGAGTGACTTTCACCATAATTAATGCCCCTTTTGGAGCAAGGTTTTCATCTCTAATCAGAATTTGTTACTCTCCAAGCAGAAAGCATTTTGGTGCTTCAATGGTGTACACTTTTTTTCTGCCAAGGACCGCAGTGGCTCTGTATCATAGATGCCTGCCATTAGTAACAACATACAGACAGATAGTGTAATAATTCTTAATAAATTACTAGGTGTTCACGTAAAGAAATGCATGTAATTTATCATTTGCATGGGAAAATTTCCTTTAATTTTTTTTTAATTATTATTTATTTATTTATTTATTTATTTTGCCACTTTGGAAATATAATGAGGGCTGGCTGATTTTTCAGCATCTGTTTTCTGTGTTTCATCTATTCTTAGTGGCTTCCTCCACCTATTTACTTTTCTATGTTATTTCTTTTTCTCTTGCTTCAAATCCACTGACAAAAATAAGGAGATAATTTAAGAAACTTGAAGCTTTACATAACTCTCTGAGTCAGGTTAGCCTTCTACTTACACAGACTCAGTGAAATGTGTATAAGTTTCTCCCAGCAATGCTATGTCGTTTCCAAGTTATATCATCCCATCTCTGCACAATTATCTGACCAAGTGCTGCAAATATAACAGAGCAGTTAACTAATCTGGAAATTCAAACTATTAAGGTATTCAGAAATTCAATCCAAGGAATCATACAGGCAGGTATAGAATTATGTAGCATTATATTAAAAATCTCATGTTAAAAACATTCAATTTTTTCTTTATTTATTTTCTGGTATTTAGGGCCCAAATTCAGACCACAAAACTATAAGAATAAGAACTAATGAATAAGATGAGAAACAATTTTAAGTTAGGAGCCCAGTTTCTCCAGTGAAGGAATAGGCAGTTGTGTATAAGTAGAAGGGATGACGACAATTTGCCTATAATTGAAGATATGATCATGTTCTTGGTATTATACATCATCCTAGAGTGTTTGAAGTATGTATTTAGTGTGATGAATTTCAGATATATACTCTTTAACTAAGGCAAATTCTAGGGAAATTTATTGAATGCTGGAATAACAATTAAACACTGCTTATTTTCTTTCAGGACTCGTATCCCAACAGATTCAGGAAATTATTTGTATGATTGCCAGATTGGATGCTTTTTCCAGCTTGTTGGTGGCCAGAACTAGGGCCCTCTCTCTAGGAGTAATAACTGCACTTTTAGAAAGAAATTATCTAATAAGCCATATATGTTACAAGATGTGAAAAAGCATTCCGACTAAGAGCCAGTTCTTGTGCCTGACTGGTCACATTCAACACAGAGCTAAGAAGTTTAGCATTTCTCTCTCCTCTGCTTCACCTGGTATATTTTAATGCAGCAATTACCTTAGGCAAAAATTCAAAAGAAGCAAGATCTTTTATATGAAGCAGGAGAAAATAAGCGTTTATATTTTGAGACACTTTTCATGTACGTCTTTAACTTTTAAATAGGCCTTTAAAACTCTGTCCAGGATTATGTGATGTTCTTGAAGGAAATATGTTCACTGAGAAAGAAGGTAGGGAGGGGGATGAGCAGAATCTACCTAAATAATCTACTGATCTCATTTAATAGAGGGAGAGAAAGAGAGAGAATTACTCTATCACAATAAAAAGATTTCACTCTATAAAATAAGGAGAGATTGTTGCCATGGCATCAGCAAAATTCATCCTTCACATAATTGCACACACATGAACCTTTCTTGACAGAACAGAATTATAAATGTGCAAGGTAAAATATTTTCTATTATGCTTCCTCACAGAATTTTAAATAGATATTTGCATTATATTTAGATGAAATCATATAGGTAATTATTTCTTGCAAATATCTTCCAAAGCAAAGCAACAAATTTTGTGCTGACATGGAAATGCACATCTCAGAAGGCACTAGGTAACTCAAAGCACACAGAAAAAGATGCATTCACTTCCAAGCTGCTCTCCAACATAGATTTCTCATGCATGAGAAACCCCTCTCAACCTTGACAAAACCATATTCAACAGATAATCAACAGGCTTAAAGCTGTTCCTGGAATGACTGAGCAACTCAGAGTCATGTTCCTGGGGATGTGTTCTTCATATTCCTACTATTATTACTACATGGGTTAAGAAAGCATAATCTTATGTTCCACTCTATTTGTATTTACAATGCATATGCTATTTTATGATAATTTCCCCAAGTGCACTGAGTACTTAGCAGAGAAACTTTTATTAGAGAGTTCAGGGGCCTGAGGTCAAAAGGCATTGCTAGATTTTCACTGCACTTCTCCATTTCATGCACAGAGATTTCACACTGGTCTTCAATGTCAACACAAACATTGACTTTATATGGTGGTATAATATCATTGTTCACCTCATATTAGTCCTTGCAGATATAGTGAATTTAAAGATAGCCATTTTGAAGACAAGAGGAACCACCTTTAAAAGGCAGCAATCAAATAACCCATGTTCTTGTACAATACGTGATAAATAATTGTCTGTTATGCTAATTTCTGATTAAGTAATAAATGTGTACATTCAAAAAGATCACTGATATGTTGATGATCCCAAGTGACTAGAAGATTTCCAATCACTGAATAAGGTCTTTAATAAGCAGATTTTTACTGTTTTATATATACATGTATGTGTGTGTATATATATATATAAAATAAACTCCTTTACAAATGAAAGCATAATTTCTGAGATTTGTCTGACTTCTAGCCATTAGACTACATTCCATTTTTGGTCAGCCTAAGTTCTGCCCACGTAATATACAGGTGTAATTCAGCCACCTTTTACAGTAGACAGACTGGGCTTCTTTAGGATGCAAAATAACTTCTGCGCCCTTCTGAACAACAGATCTGGAAATAACAACCTTGAAGTGTTTTCACAAAAGCCACACATGCAGGTAGTATCACCTCCTAATTCCTAAAGGAAAGTTCCTTCTCCATAAGACCTCTGAACACATAATTTCTCATAGCCAGAGCTCTACACAGGGAGTTCACAGTTGGTTGATTATCCATTATGACCGGAAAGTCTTGTCCAGAGGCAAGACCATTTTGAGCATAGTTCCTCAGTCTGACAATTTGACCTACATTCACTGCTCCTAGATGCATGATGTTGCATTTGGTTATACTGAAGTTAAATTTGGACTTACCAGATGAGGAAGATAAATCATTCAGATGATGCTGTATAATTGGCTTGTCTTTGAGCGGATAAAATTTGAAACTTCACATTCTCTCTGCAGGATCTGTAGTCTTTTTGTATAAAGATAAGAATTCACCCTCCAGTGCTCTCTACCTCACAGTTTCTACCAGCATGACACTCCTGGAAAACATAATGAGGGAAAAAAAGATTGCAACTTTGTATAGTGATGTCTTTAACCCTTCCTTTTGCCAGCTATCAATCCACATCCAATCACTTAATATCCTCAGTGCTGAAGCCACCCACCCTTAGAAACTTTGCTGCACAGATCTAGAACTCACATTTGCTGTGCTGACCCATCAGTCTTTCCTTTCCTTCAGTACACCAGAGTGAAAACAGATGTGCTTTGCTGCATTCTAACATGCCATGTGTTGCAGACTGACAAGAAAGATTATAAATAATACAGAGCTTCATTCTCATTACAGTGATTGTAATGAGAAAGATAAATGGGTTCAAATAAAACCATTCAGACTCCAGTGATAAGATTACTATCTCTTCTGAATGTGTATCTAACCCAATTTCATGATATCATTATCCTCCCTGAAATGCAATGGAATATATGGCAATTTAGAGGATCAATCCTCATATATTTTATATATTCTGCGTTTTCTCTAGCACAGGAAAAGTCCTTTCACTTGGTCTTCATTATGACTACACTTCTAGGTATCTGCTCACAGATGATAAAATAGATTGCTACACATTAACACGTACATTGATCTGTGCACACAAGACAGTTGTCTCTCAGTTGGCTTATTCCTTAAAGATCAAAGATCTTCTGTTATGACTTGTACTGAGTTGAGAAATGTAATTAAACAACACTGAGAAGAGAGAAGAATGAGAAATGCCTGAAGAAAGAAACTCATTTGTTTTTCAGACGCAAATAACATTTTCTAGCAATATAACCACTCTGTGTACATAAAACTTGACATGACTTTTTGGCAAAGTAAATTTTGTTCTCTTTCCTTTTTCTTCCTGAAAGGTTTGTAAATTTCAGTAGCCAAAACACACAGAAAGACATAAGTAAAGCATGGACAATTTCTCTGAATTTGTGGATTGAATATTACTTAAGTTTCCTCCAATCCGTAAGCCCGAATGTTTATCACAATGTTTACACAGCTTTTTGTTCTTCGCAAAATTATCAAGTCTTTACTGTACACCAGTATTTAGATGAGATTTACCCCTGTTGACTCAACCAAATACAAAATAAGAAATTAAACAGCATTAACAAAACACTCTGATTTGAGCCTCTACTAAGCACTAGCATTTCCTCTACATCAAAAATGCCAGAGAATGAAAGTAACTCCTCTGCTCCGGGCTGCGGGAAGGCCCTAAATCACCTCTTCTTTCCAGAAATGATTAATAATTCCTGTATATAATGTAACTGTAACCTTGTGTAAAATATAACTGTATCTTGTGTATGCATGAAAGTGCTTCAGGATGAAAACTGCTGTATAAATGTAAGCTGCTATTAATTATGGCACCCAAAGGAACGTTCAGCTAGCTTAGTTTTCAATCCGAGCCTATATTAACATTCCCATGTGTTCTAAATTTCCTTTTCTCCACACCTTTTTATTTGCCATTCTGTCAAAGGAATACAAATTCACCATTCCTATTCAACTCCAACCACAGATGTACACTCCCTGCTGATTCAACTGCAACAATTTACTAATGCATATATTATTTCTGAAGATCAGCTGAGGCTACTGAGAGGCAAAGACAAGGGAAAAAGTGTATGTACATACACAAATGCATATAAAAAGGGAGATCAAGAATGAAGCTGCTGTATATAGATTTTCTTCAGATTTCCAATTGATTACATAAAATGTGGCAAGTAAGAGAGGTAAAAGATGATAGGGATTATAATCAAATTTATCATTTGAGAACACCTTCAAAGCACTTCATTGCAGAATCAAATCTTACATGACATAAATGTACTAAGAATCTAAAAAGTATTTTCATCCATCAGCAGGATAATTATCTGGTAGATAAACACTCAATAACAAATAGAGAATAATGAAAATGAGAAGTCAGCCTTCAAAAAAGATTAGGGCAAGAATTCATCAGCAGGATTGAGCTGGACAAGGCAGCAGCCCTTATACCTCTAGTGCTGCAGTAGGCACCATGAGACTTCTGCCATAATGCAGTATTAGGCCTTTCTGATGCAGTTGAGTATGGAACTGATTCGTTTCTATGATCCACAGCAAAGATGTGATTTTGACTACCAGATATTTTGTGATGATCATAAAATAGCAGCAATTTCAACACCTGGTGGTTTGTGATGCCCTTCAGAATTGTGAGTTCTCCCTTTGTATGCAGTCCTTATTAGTTAGCAAAATTAGCTTACCTACACATACTTAGTATGGGGCTCTCCTTTAAACTCTTCACAGATAAATCTGGAGAACTCATTTTTAAACTTGAGTGGCATGCTAGAAATGTGTTACCAAATATTAACTTCAGTATGACATACAGTCACACTGAGAGGTAGTTCTCTTCCATTCCAAATTTCTGTTTGCCAGGAAACCTGCTCTGTCTGGACCTTTCATGTCACAAGACAGAATGTTCCCTGAAGTCTTGTTCCCTCTTTGATCTGGGCCATTACATCAGGTTAGAAAGATTGTAGACTGAGTGAATAGATAATTTTTACATGCTGAAGCAAGAGGTAGATCTGTCTGTGATCAAATGATTGATTAATTGAAGGTTTCATAGATTTAAGCTGCATTGCTAATGTGCATCACAGTACTAAGAACCTAGGCTGAGGAATTTGTCTTCTGACTATAGATAGGATCCAATTGCCCCTTGAGAAACTGTTTCACCCAAGGTGCATCTCAGAGAGGCAAGAAAGACCTTTATTACCTTCCTTATTTTACACTTCTCTTCAGGAAAGCAGTTAGGCAACTGCAAGGTTTTCTTTTGGTACTTGTCCAAACACAAGAATAAAGAATAGGAAATCATTTCAGACATCTTACCAGCCCAATGGAATCTCCTTGTCTTGCTTGCTGTGGCTGCTAAATTGTTTTTTCTTTTATCTTTCATCTGCTGTCTTCCACATTACACTTTGTTTTAGGCTGATGGCTATTTCATTGTAAGAAACTTAGAACTGGAGATCATAAACCGAATGCTGGCAGTGTCATGCAGAACAAGTTTCTAGACCAAAGCCTCCTCAGCAGTTACATCTGCTGTCGTATCCTCACATGCCAAGCCTGCCCAAGTCCCATTGCAGCCTCAGCAGTGTGTATCTGCTCTTCAAGCAAGCAGCATTAAAAAGTGTGTGTCACAGAGGAAAAGAACATAAAAAAATCCATTACCCATGGTTTACTAAATGATTAATCCAAATGTTGTTTTAATTTTTCATGTGAAGAAAATGAAGAAAAAAATATTAATTTTTGGCCTTGAAATTCCCTTATTTCAAATTAATACAGGATGCAAAGACTGTTGACTCAGTTCTTTCTTAATTGGATGAAAAACTGTGGACTACCCAAAGTACAAGCGAGTGTTCAGAAAATTCCTTCCCTGGACACTTACATTATAATAAATTATTTCTCTTCAACTTTGTGTGTGGAAAAAGAAAAAAAATTAACACCATTGTCAATTGTCACTCATCCAGAACTACTCACAGGCACAATCCATTTTGAAGCCCATGCTAGAGCAACTTTTAATTCAGTGGGTAACAGTCTACAGTTTTGCTGCCAGAGCATGTATTTCATTTCTTCCCTTTTGGCTATTATTGATGAAGCAAGAAAATCACCTCGTTATCTTGTGTAAATCTAATCTCACAAAAAATTACCATTTAAAAATCTACAACATTCCCCAGATATAAAGCTTCTGCAATTCAGGGTGTCGTCCCTCTTAACAGTCAGAGAACACAGTGTTCTCATTTAATCTAAATAGCATGGATGAGTTAGATTTAATTCTGATTAGAGCTGTGGATTTCAAGTTGCAGATAAAGACTCAAAGATGGATGTTAAAATGGAGTTTTACCATGTGTAGTGTTTGGGAGGGCACAGCTGTGTTACATAACTTAGCAAAAGTCTGGCAGTGAGTGATGAACATTGGTAATCCAGAGAAAGTCCCATGACAACATTTTTCTCCTCTAATTGTTAAGCAAGTCTCACCTAAGCATGAACTATATTACATGTAAACACTCAAATCAGTGACTTTTTGTCGTTCTGCCAGTAACTGCTGCATAAAAGGGTATAAATTCCATCATTCTGTCATTACCAGTTTCAATTTTTACAGGATTAGTTTGTTTTTTCTTCTTAGAACTCAAAGATTTTATGGTGCTTTAATGAATAACTAAAAGGGATCCAGACTCAGTAAGCCTCTGACAGATGTTGTTTAATATCATCATTCTTGTTCTTTTCAGAGCTTACACCATGGGGATTATATTTTGTGGTTTGATGTGTGATCTTTTTAAGAATTTAACTATTTCTTTAGTTCATCATATGAAGATGCTATGTTAATGGCTGCTATTCCTGCTTAATTGTTGCTGATTTTTTTCTTTCCCTTGCATTTCCCAAGCATAATATCCTGTAAATCACCTGTCTTTACTTCTCAATGACATAACAAGACTGCCAAACAGTGACATATCATAGATAAAATGGTGTCAGCCAGTAGCTGTTAATGCTGTACAAATTTAGATGACACGATGCCCTTCCTTTGGATCTATCAATTATCTTCAACTCTTCCCTTCATTTTCTGATAGCACAAGCACCATCTTCGGTTCTATACGTAAGGGAAGGAAGAATGGCAGACACAGAATAAGAGAAATATGATAAAGCTTGGGACACCAAGATGGCAGACAGACATGGAAGTAGATATCCTAAACAACTTTCATTATTTTTTTAATGTTCCAGACCAGAGATTTTTTTCCATAGGAGGAAAAAACAAATAAAAACAGCAACAAAAAACCAAACATACACATCATCACCAAAACAAAAACAACATCAACAACCCACAGTGATTATGAGATGGCTTTAAGAAAATGAGAAATATAGCAAATACCTATCCTTCTCTTCCTTCCTGGGATAGCAACCAAACACTATGGGCACACTTAGAATAATTCATGTAAATCACATAGCCCTCAAATACAACAGAAAAATGATCTTGAGCTTCAGCTAAACAGC